CCACCCCCCCCAAAAAAAAAAAACCCAAACCCCAATCAAAACTGATACTGCTGAGTGAGATCCCAGCTTGTTCAGTTTATCCCACCACCTCCTGTCCAGGAGGCTGAGCGGGCTCTCAGCTTCCCTGTTTGTTCACAAAGTATGTGATTTTCAGTTTGCACTGCATCTCTTGGCAGTGCAGTTTTGAATTTATTTAGGGTTTTTGTTGTGTTTCAACTGCAAAGGGCAGTAGGGATGGCCTAATGGCAGCGATTTTTTTAGCTAGCCAACATGTTGCCTTTCTCCAGGCATTTGAACAGTCCTTTTGTATTAATGTTAAGTGTTTTAAGTGTTTTCCTGGAGTATATATATGCAGTTGTATGAATTGTCAAGTTACAGTACACTTGTCAGTCACAAATTTTGCATACTTTATTGCATTTTTATTGTTTTTATTGCTTAACAGGCACAATGATTTTCACAATGTTTCAAGCTTTGGAATATTTTTAATGACCAATTGAATCTTTGTATGTCTGACAGGCCATCACCATTGCTAAAGTGCAATTCCAATTTTAAACAACAGAGTTGCATATTAGCAACAGTATTAGCCTGTAGCTGAGAAGGTTCAGATACCAGAGTTTTTCAAGTCTGCTGTGTGGAGTTCTGTCTCAAATAGTGCCGCCTGTAACAGTAACTGCAAATCCCTGAAGTCAAGCCATTCCAAAACTTTTATCAAAAATATTCATCATGCTTCTGAACTGTTGGGCTATTAGGAGTCACCACAACTAAAACATGGAAGCACTTACTTTTTTAGGCATCCAGCAAGTACCTCCATGTTAAAGTAGAGGGGGTCCTTGCCATCATGATGCAAAATTATGCTTTGTTTTAACACGGAGTACACATATGCATTGCAGATACTTTTTTCTGTTTTGGTATGTTTCTATATATTTCTGAAGAGGAAAGTGTTTTCAGTTGAGTAAAAAAGGATTCACCATCACTAAAACATGGAAGCACTTACTATTGAGGAGCAAAGCAAGTACATCCACATTTAAGTTGTGGGGGTCCTTAAGTGTAGACTAAATAGTAACCAAAAAAATAAGCAAAAGCTAAAAAAAAAAAAAGCATGGTATATACAGAGTCCTGCTAATGCAATAATGGACATCCACATATATTATTGTAAGCAGGCTTATTTGAGCTGTAGCGCATTTCTAGAAATGCATTGTTCAACATTAGGATCCACCGCCACTGAAACATGGAAGCACTTACTTTTTTTAGGCAGCAGGTACCTCCATGTTAAAGCGAAGGGAGTCCTGAATTCAAAAATTGCTTCAAATGTTTCAAATATGCAGGCCACTGAAAAAATGTCTTACTCAGCAACACTTAAGCTTTTAGTTCTTGGAGAAGCACGCTTCATCTGCTTACAGCCAAAGGTCTTCGTTTTTCTTTTCCCAGACCTAAAAATCTTGCAACTGAAGTGTAGACAAAATAAATCCGGATGGTATTTCAGTATTGCGATCAGGATTCACCTCTACTAAAACATGGAAGCACTTACTTTTTTTAAATCACAGAAAGCACCTCCATGTTAAAGTAAAAGGGGTCCACAAAAACGGTAGTCATCAACGATGCTTGCCCTCTTCCACTGAAATTCTGAAACTACTGCATCAAATACAGAGATGGAGTTTAAAATTTTAGTTAAGTGTAGCAAGGCGGGGGGTGTGGGGGAGGGAATTTTAAAGGAGCATAAGCATTGCAAATACTTGCCTGACCCATAGCCCATGGTCTTCTCCTCTGAGTCAAGTTAACAAGCACCTCCTTGAGCCTGTATTTATACCATACCTCGCTATGGAATGGTGTTGCCTTTTTATCTCTAAGAATCATTACGTGGGTCTTTTGTTATTTTAATGTCTTTGCTCTGTTGAGAATGTATGATCCTGGGTGAGTCTGGATGCTTTTTTGAAGTATACAGTTGTCAATGTTAACAGCTAAAACCATTACCACAAGATATCCTCCTCTTTAAAAATCCTCTATCAGCTTGTTTGATAGCACAGATTAGGGTAACAATGAGTCGTTCTCACAGTGGCACTATAGGCATTGTGTTTCTGTGGAGCAAAGCTCTAGCTGTTTGCAGAAACATCTCCATGTTAAATGTATGTAAATATATAAATTGCTTCCATGTGGTGGTATTTTTTAACCAAAATGCATTTGAATAGTAAGGAATGTTCTTATCTCAGTAGGTTTTTGGTGAGTTTAACCAGTTGTTGATTTTCCATCAATGATTTTTCTAGAAAATAAATGACTGATTCTTAATGTAGTAACACAGGAGCTGGTTCACTGAGCTAATTCAGTGAATTCAGAGTTCACTGTCTCTGAATTAAGTCTGAATTTAGCCTCTGTGCTCTGTGTAGTTCTAGTAGAAAACACAGTTTACCAAGCTGTTCTATATGCTTTCTGAATATGTAAAACAAATTTGGGAGCCACTCTATTTGAATGATAGCTTGATCTTGTTAGAACTTGCCTGGAATATTAAAAGCTAAAGAAAAATAATAAAGCGTAGATACTGACAAGGCCTAATTTGACCTAAGTGCATGGAGATCTCTGGTCTGCATTGCTCATCAAGTTCAGCTTATCCTCTTTGTAAACTGTTTTGTCTAAAGTTATGACTGAGTTTCTAAACGACATTTTTTTTTTTTACAACTGACATCCTATGCTTGTGTTGCCGCTTATAGGACTGAATGGATGGATTTGAAGCAAGAATATTTGGCCCTTCAAAAAGCCAGTATGGCCTCCTTAAAGAAAACAATGTCTCAAATCAGATCTGAGCCCGTGGGAGAGATGGAAACTGAATCTCGTGTGCAGAAAAAGCCTCAATCTGAAAATGACAAATGTAATCCTGTTTGTGATGGTTTTTTGTCTTGTTTTCTTCATGCTTCTACTACACAAACATAAGTGATTTAAGATACTGGTCCTCCAGAAACACTGCAAAATGGTTTTATTTTCTATAATGCTGGTGCTTTCTCTGAATGTTAAATATTATTAAAAGCAAAACCCCCTCATTTAGGTAGATTATGGACTAAGGGATTTCATAAGTAAAAACCTAACAAGTATTTTCAGCATATTCCAGTAGCACTTCTTAAGCATAAGTATCTTTTTAAGTAATTATAATTATAAAACCCTCAGAGAGGTGAATCAAGAATCAGCTCTTTTGATGATGTAACTTGGGCTTGATTTGCTTAAGCTTCTATACCTGCAGTGATTTACTAAATAATTTCGCTATGTAAGGCATGAAAAAAATGAATTGCAATTGGGTTTTATCAGCTTTATGGTTAAAAGTAGCTTTGTAATTGTGTCCTCTTAGTTAATTTTCTACGTTTTTCAGAGATAGAATTGCTTTTTTGCTCTGGATCCTCTGTACTTCACTAACTTCAATACTGAGATCTCAATGCCTGTCTGCTTATTTTTAATCACTCTAGAACTGAGGGTTCAACTATTAAACTGTAATCCATAGAATATAAAATATTCTTACAAGAAGACCCTGTAGGCTGTAAAAACTTCTCTAAGATTCTTGGAGCTATTCCCCCCCCCCTTTTTTTTTGTTTGCTCACATTGACTTTACCTTGTGAACAGTCTTGATCCTGGATTTAAAAAAAAAAAAACCAAACCAAAAGACACTTAATCTGAAGTAGCAGTATTTGATGCCCCTTGTTTCATTTCTTGTGTACATCATGTTGCTTATGTGCTTTCATAGCATCTTTAGTTTGTCAAACCAATAAATGTAAAAATTTTCTTCTTTTTTTTTTTTTCTCGTTTTTAAATTGACCAGCCACCAGTGAAGATTCTGCCCCTCCTGCCAAGGCTAACACAATGGGGCCCCAGTTCGTGACTGGAGTAATTGTGAAGATCATTAGCACTGAGCCCCTGCCGGGCAGGAAGCAGATCAAGGTAATGCCTTTGTAACCTCAGGGTAGCTGTTAGCCTTTCCTCTTACAGTGGCCCCCAAATGTTTGAATATGGAATACCCCTTAAACAAGTCTTGCTGATTTTTTTTTTTTTTTTTTAATTTGTTCGGCCAGTAGCTGTGTACAGATTCTTCTCTAGTACCTGATAATGGCAAATTTTACAACGGCAGAACAGGGTAAAGAGGATGTTTCAAGGCAAAAATTAGCTTTTAGAGTGCTTCAAGCAATGTCAAGTTTATAAGGAAAATAATGACAAAAATGAAGAAGGATGAGTAGTTCTTTCCAGTTTAAAAAGAGAAGTTGAAGACAAAGTGGCTGCAGTGTTCTCTATTTGTCATTGTGCCAGTCATTCTGGCACAATTCAGATCAAGAAGTCTGTAACAGCATGTTGGGCTTTTTACCATTAACGGAAATTTGGGGGCAAAAAAATGCACTCTGCATGAGAAAAGGATTGTCTTTTTTCAGTAAGAAATTCACAATTACAGAAGCTCCAGTTCAGTGAGAGGGACAGCAGTAGATTTAATTCACCCATTTATTTCTTTTTTTTAATTATTCTTTTTCACTGTGCCAAGTACTTTTTTTTTCCCCCACAATTTAAAAAAAAGTTTTTAGGGTAACTTAAATTTTGTTTCACATCATGATATGAAAGTTACACATTTTAAGCAGAGTATTTTCTTTTAAGGAAAATAGCGGTTTCAAGTTGCATCTTTTTGAATGGAAATATTTAAAGTTTTCCGAAGGAAATAACAGGCTTTTTTCAGATCCTGAGTTTTCCATGAATGTGACACAATACATTTTCTTTCACAAATTGCACTTTTGGATGAATAACAGCTGGAAAGAATTTGAACAACTTCAACTCATGTTGGAATAAATATTCAGACCACTTAGGGCAATGAGAGAATGGCTCAAAATGTGAGTTCTGAGAACTTCTCAAACTACCTATATTTGTAACTGAGTAGTCCATTTGAAGTCACTGGCTGCTTGCAAGTGTGTGAAGTTTAGTGTGCGCATAAATCCAAACAAGATGAGGTGTCTCTCTCTGAAAACAAATTGATGATAGGGTTTCAACTTAATCAGTCTTATCAGCCTTGGTATATTTGTAGGCAGTTGTCTTGAGTGCTGGAGACACTGAGACAATGTAGTAGTTGTCACTCTAACATTTGAGGGCCCCTTTGCAGTATACACCTTACTGTGTTAAGTTTGTGTCACAACTTAACTTACTGTGGTCAGGAGGTAAGCTTACTGTTCCTGCAATAGCTGAAAACAAACTTAGTTTGGTATTTCCAGTTATTCTTTTGGTTTAGTTTTAGGGAAGTGTTCCAGGGAAAACTTATGCTTCATGAAAGTTAAGGGGGACAAAATAAGATTGGGGTTGTCTTTGCAGTTATTAATCATGTCTTTGGTTCCCATAATAAGTAGATAGGCAAAATATTTCACAAAATGTTAGCAAACGTATGTCTCCGTAAAAGCCTTATTTAATTGCAGAATACAACTGTAGCTGGAAGAAGCAATAATCTTTAGTGTGCACCAGCACTTCTTGGGGTCAGCAGTGGAAGCTGCAAACTGTACTTGACCCTTACTGGATTCTTTTGGCCATACTAGTTGCTTTTATGAAAGGTGTAACTCTTCGGCAAAACCTTGCTTTGCCTGTGTTTCTGGACTGTCCTAGCTACAGCAAACACTGCCACAAAGCAATGCATCTAGGGTTTTTTTCCTTAATAAACTTCCAGAATTGATCTGTATTTCTGATTTTGTGGCAGGCTTAATTACTTCCACACACTGGAAAGGTCTTTGCAGAGTAGTTGTAATATTATTTTGATGATTTTATTTATTTTTCACTTCACTACTTCCATATTTTGCTATTAAGGTGCTTAGCAGAGATCATAACATTTGCCGACTGCGGTAAACTGGGTCGTTGTAGTTTTCCAGGTAAGCATGACTTTGGGATATCAGAATGAAGACTGGAAAGTAGCTTTGGTTGGCTCTTAAATGGTCTCAACAGCATTGGCACTTACCTTTTGTTTTAAGGCTGTCCTTGGTAGTGGAGGGTTAAAAGCAGTGTGTAATTCTTCAATAGAAACATCTTACTTGAGCTGCCCTGCTGTGAACTAAATTGACTAGGAATGTGCAGTCTTAGTTAATTTCCCTAACAGCAGGTATTACAAGTGAAGTACTTCATAGTACTTCATCTGAAAAAGCATGTGTGACTCTTCTCCCTTCAGCTGTCAGTGAAAATTTTCAGGCAGAGGTCACTTCATAAACATAGGAAGGGTTGGTTTATTACTGCTCATCTCTCAATCTGCCATGAATGAGCTTGCTTTTATGTATTTCATGCATAGAATGAAGTTAGATATTTTGCTGTTGGACTGACATATATCAATGTTAGAGTACACAAATAATTTTTCTTTTTTAAAAAATTCCATAGAGACACAGCATTGAAATAAATGACTAATTACTGATGCTCCATTAGTACAACTATTCTTATGCAACAAAATAACATCTTCGGCAATTACTGCTTTAAATTGTTCTCGGAGCACAGGATGAGAGATAAATAGATGTGGTTGGCTCATAAATCAGAATTCAGTTATAATCCTTTTAGGAAAATATATTAATTCAGAATTATTTGACAGTAAATTAATTGATTAAACGAAAAAGTTCAGTTATTGCCTTGTACTTCATGACCTTTTTGAAAATGTCAGTCATCTACAAATGGTCAAAAAGTCAATCTTTTTATATTCTTTTTTTAAAGTGTAGTTTATGGTCTGTTCTCTTGTTTGCTTTGATAGGATGCTTTGGCAGTGCTGGCGGATGTTGCTTATGTTGACATGCTGCAGGGAGACACAGAATGTCATGTCCGTTTTAAAACTCCCGAGGATGCACAGATTGTTGTGAAATCATACAAAGAAATACAGATGAAAAACAACTGGAAATTCGAAGTTCTCACTGGTAAGACTTCTTTTTTTTAATGGTAGTACAGGAGAAGACTTGAGTAGTGTGAAAAGGATTGTATGGCATGATATCTTTATGGATATATTTAGATATCTTTGTAGCTGGGGAAAAGACCGCACTTGTTTTTTTTTCCCTGTGATTCTTCTTATTTTGCTATTATAATGAAATTATTAAAACAGTAAGGGTTTTTATGCCATTGTTCAGAGCAAAATAACGATTTTGCTTCCTTTTATCAACTTAAATCTGTTATTTTGAGACTGATTTATTTACATCACTTTTAGTGGCAATGGACTGTAGAACTTAATTTACATTTCAGCTTTATGAATATAACATTCTGATGATGCAAAATAATTTTAAATGAAGATTTTCGTGAAATTACTGAACTTGTGTGAAATAACAGGACAAGGATCTAACAGCATGGATATGCTTACAGTGGTTTTAGCACTTGCCTTCTAATTAATCTTTCTTTTTTCAGGAAGTTGAATAACTTAGGCCAGAGTAATGCCTTTTTTTAATTCTATTTACACTAAAATTTTTACCGGCTTACTTTTGAACTTCATTCTAATATGTGTTATTTTTTTCTGAAATTACTCTGCTGTTCTAAATTAATATTGTCTCTTAGATTGGACTAGTCTTCAAAGTGTAGAGAAACCTCTACGGAAGTGAGGGATAGAAGAAGGAGGTGGGGGGAAGTCTCTCAAATTTTGTTACTGTATTCACAGAACTTTTAAATTATAGACAGGCACAGAAAATCCTAAATGCACAAAAAACGGGTAAAACAATCCAAATGAGATTCTCTCATTTGTGTATTTAAATATTTTACCGCATTGCTGCACAGATCCTCACATAAGGCCTGGTTCCATGCATGCAGGGATGTAAACCCTAATAAATGTCAATTAAGGACTGCAGAGGAAGAGCTATAATGGAGGCATCAACCTTAATATCAAAGTTAATTAAAGTTTGAGACTCACTGAATGCTGCTAATGTCATTTGGAGATAGATTTGTCTCCAGAGCGTGCTGTGTTCCAGAGATCCAAAACCAACTTGAAATACAGCATTTTACAGCTGCGTGCTCTGTGTGTAATTTCTCTCAGGTTTTGTATCTTTATATAAAAGAGTGTAGTAGTAGATTGGGAGTAAGTGCCACACTGTAGGAACATTCCATTCGTAGTTTTAAGATTACTTTTTTTTCTTTGGAACTGGCTCATTGAAATGAGAATGGAAAGGCTTCTGAAGAACGCAGAAGTGACTCCCAGTAAGGATTTCAGCTTTTCTTGGTGGCATAAGGGTGAATACAGAGAATAAGAATAGGGAAAGAATCTTTAATGCTCCCTGCTGCAGGAACTAAAGCTTTCTCCGTAATATTTTACTTTTTAGAACTTGACTTTGACTATCTTCAGCTTTTCATCTGACAAGATATTAAACATCTATGGTAATATTTAGATGTTTTTGTGATTGAATGTATAAATAATGCTGTTAAAATGTATGCAAAATTGGTTCTTAGAATTATTAATTCCGTAACTTTTGCAGGAGTCTTTTCCAAGATCACTTAGAAACTTCCCTGTAACTGAAGATTTCCCATGAGACCTTACAACATTACATCACAAAATTCCCATCATGATAGTTTCAGCACAAACCAGAAGAAACAGTGGCAAGCTGCTTCTTACTGAAAACCAGCCACTGAAGCTGCAAAATTATTTCCTCTCATATTCCCTGCTATGTTAAAGTATTCCTAACTGCCCATGAAGTCCCCAGAGTTTACTTCTAACAGTGGTTTTTATGAAACAAAATTATCTCAGTCATTCTTACAGTAATTTTTTTTTTCTGTTTGATAGTTTATTTAAAATCAGTCGCGGGGCTGAGTACATCAGTAAACCAAAGGGTCTCTGAGTGCCATGGTGAAACTAATACTGAGCTGCTTCTGCTAATTACATGGAGAGTGGTGTTTGCATGTCTCCTCAGTTCTTCTTAAGTTTGTAAAACTCCTTGCTCAGGAAGGCTTAGATACTTTGGCAATCCAGTCCTCAAGTTAATAAACGAATAATTCAGGTCCTGTCCAGCTTGTACAGAACAGAGACCTCGGTGTCAGCTTTAAGCTTCTTTGGACAGGGTTTTTCTTTTCTTTGTTCACCTCAGTGTGTGCTGGTCAGATGTTGCAATGCTGTATGGTTTGTCTGACTGTGAAATTTAAGACTGGTGGGGAAATACTTGGGGAAACCTAACAAAAGGTATTTTCACACGTGTTTACCTTAGTTGGAAGGGATTCCTTCTCATCACAGTCTGAAAACACTGCATCCATTTGTATTGAATACTTTTATTCATGTACAGTAATGTTAATTTGTTTTTCAAGGTGATCATGAACAACGTTACTGGCAGAAGATTTTAGTGGACAGACAAGCTAAACTTAACCAGCCTCGAGAAAAGAAGCGGGGTACTGAGAAGGTAATTTGCAAGTAAATTTTTTTCCTGTACAGCCATGGTCGAAAATGTTTCTGTTTCTGTGTAGGTCTACATTTTTTGATACTTTGACGTTTGACTCTGTATTTAATGCAGTTAAATCACCTCCTACTGACTTTGCAGCAGGCTTTTACAGCCACAAAATAGAAAATGTGTGGCTGTCCTGGTCCAATTGCCAAATGCAAGGCTTGTCTTTAGGGAAACAATTGGAGAAAGTCAAGTCCATGGCTAAAGGCATGAAGTTAGTTTGTAAACCGGATTTCCTGTAAAACTCTGCCTGGATGAACTTGTTAAGAAGTTAAGTAGTCTTGATTTACTCTAGGGTGATAAAGTCTAGTGCTTTAGTCTTAATTCTCTAGTATAATAAAGAAATTTTTCTTCAGAACGAATCTGTTTTCTCAAGATTTACAGTGTTTTTATTTGTACAGTTTTGTGCTATGGTAAACACTGGTGTGTTCCTAGTGTAGTCAAGAGTCTATGTGTGTCTGTGTTCTGATTCAGACAAATCTGAACGCCACTGCGAGCATCCGTAGCTCAGCAGCTTCCAGACCAAAACTGCCTCACATGGAGTGAAATTTCTTTCCAGCCTTGACCTTTGTGTGCCTGTCAGGCTGCAGCATTGAGGGAGTGTGCAATGAACTTGCAGGCTGCAGTCTCCACTCCTGCCCCAGAAGATCCTTCCAGGCATGAAGGTTTCCTGATTAAGCCAGTCAGATCCTTTACCTGACAGAGAGGAGCCAGAGTGTTTCACAGACATTTTATTGCTAGGTTTACTTCACACACATTGCAGATAAGGTTTCTGAGTTGGTTTTAACCTGAATCTTCATGCTGTCACTTGCAAAACTTCAAAATCATCTGACCTTAGTTATTTGCTGGTGACTTTGGAGACTTATTGTTTCCTAGGTGCTCCAGTGATGCTCACAATACCAAAAATTTCCTAGTTGTTCCATATATAATGGAAAAGACATATTACATTCTCCTAAAGGAACAGCAGCTGTGCAGGTCAAAACCTTATCTTGTACAAGGCGTATTTTGCATATATTATCTTGTTTGTTGAAATGTTCTTCAGAGATCCCGTAGACAGACAAATCTAATTCTTTTAAACAAAGGCCTGCATAAAGAATTTCCCCAAATCACTGATTTAATTTTCTTAAAAGTATAAAAATGGCATTGCTTCTAGCCATTATTCTTTAACATAAGCAGTAAGGGAATGGGAAAACTGTACAGTTTTAGAGCCTTGTACTGAGTGCTGGCAGTTTTCTTCAGTTTTTTTAAATGTACTTTTGCTTTTTTAAACAAAAGTTGCCAGTGGCACCTTTGACTTAATTTGGACTGTAGGTGCCCTGTTCTCAAGTTTCTGTTCTTCCTCTTTTGAAGACTGGTATTTGTTGATCAAGCTGGTGTAAATTGGCCAGTAATTTACCTCATCTAGGCTTGCAAATATAAACTGTCTCAGTTCTGCCTAACAATAGCAGCAGCAAGGATGCAAACTCTTGCTCTTCCCCCTTACCCATCACCTTTGCAACACTGGGGGTGTTAACTTCAAAGGTTAGTGAATACTATTTAAATGCTAACACTGTTAAGCAAAACATCAAGAAAAGAATGTCTCCCTGTAGTCAATAACTCTTAACCCTTTCATCACTTTTTGAGTCTATATTCCAGAAATAGACTGATAATAAGAAAAATGGTTTCTTTTGTTCATTAATATTGATTTTAGTCTTTTATTTGAAAATTCTACTGAAGTACTCACAAGTTGACTTCTTTTGAAGGTCACAATAAAAGGAAGGAAACAAGTAATGTGACGATTCATTAATTAAACATGTACAGCTGAATATGCCATCAGTGTATCTTTCTTGTAAAGATCTATTCTGTTAAAGGTTTTAAAATCCCTTACAGGATCTCTCTTTGAAGAGGAGCATTTGCCTATTAACTGCTTTATACTTATAATAAAGATAGCATCTTATACTTTCTTTCAATTAGTGTTTAAGCATAGGCTCAAAAGTTACATTAATACAAGCTATATAGCTGCAGTGATGTCAAGGTGAGTATAGTAATAATGAATGTACATATTGTTGCATGGATTGGATCATGTTACAGGCGGCACACGGTAACAGAGCACAGAGATGCTTTTGAGTGTAACTTTAGGCAGTTTGAGATTCTTCTTTTCCATGTGTTCTAAAAAGTACGGGCTTACTCAGCTTTCCTGCAGCGGGTCTTGCAGCATGCTAGGATAAGGGTTAATGATCACTTCAGCAGAGGGTTTCTGGCATAATGCCTCCTGCCCTGCCTGTCCGTGTTGTGTCCCTCCCCCCCCCCCAACCCCCCCAAAAAAAAAAAAACCCACAACCGCAGGCTTAGAGATTTAAATTTTTTTGGCATAGTTCTTACGATAAACTAAATGTCCGAAAGAGACTAGATATCCAAAGGTTCCCCAGAACTTGTGGCTAATGCTTAGCTGTCCTTTGGAGTTAAAAAGGTGTTCAGTGCCAGGCCTGGTTGTTCATTGTCACCTCTGTGCTCCCCTCTGCTGCCCCTTCCAAATCCATATTCTCTTTAGTCTGTTGTTGGACTGCATGATAAAACAACCTTAGCGGTTTAGTGATACAGATTAAAAACCTTCTTGCCAGAACTGTTTCTTTTGCGCAGTTCCAGTTTATGCAGATCTAAAGCAATTCATTAGTCTGTAGCCTTAAACTCTCTAGACTGATTAAAGTCTTCTGTTCCCAAAGCAAAGGCATGAGTGCCTGCAAGCTTTCTGCTTGGGTACTTGTCTTCTGGGGGGATGTGCTGGGAAACCTAGTTTACACCTTGTACATCTCCTTAAGCAGAAGGAAAGGAAGAAGTTTAAGAGGGTGGGAGTGGTGGTAGAAGTAAAAGGCATTTAGTGAGGAAGTGACAATTGGGTATTTGTGAAGGGTGGAATAATTTGGAGAATATATGGGAAAGGAGGGTAGTGGGAATGCCTGGGCAGAGCCCACACTATTCTCTTCTGATTATGCGTGGGGCTCGGGGGCTGTGTCCTTGCAAGACTGACCAGTTCCCTGTGTGCCAGTGGAGAGAGGTCCTGCTCTAGAGCACAAATAAGCCTTTTTCCATGGTTCTCTGCAGTTGATATCTATAGAAGGGCTGGGTACCTGTTTGGAGCCAGGAACAGTGGTGTGCTTACAAATAGTTGCTGATACTGGTTTGATGAGCTGAAAATGGGAATCCTTGAAGCCTCTTGCAAATTCTGAGGTGCTGGTACAGAAATACTTGCTGGTGTGAACTGCCCAGTTCACATCTTAGAGCTTTCCTTGCAGTGTTTCTGATTCTTCATCCCATATGGTGAACAATTGAGCCACTGTACTCCTTGCTTCTTTTCAGAGTTTAACTTTTAAGCCATTTTTTCAGATACCAGAGAGAAAAAGTAACTCTTAGTTACATCTTTAGATCCATTTTATTTCTGAAGAATGGTTGAGAAACTAATTTTCCAGAACTCATGGTTTGATGCTGTTGAGAACATGTTACAGATTGTTATCAAGTTAAATGCTGGGGGGTGCATTTTACCAATTTTACCAGTAAAATTGGTGGTGTAATTGTATTGCAGCACGGCAAATAATGCATCCATGCAACATCAGAGTAGAGTGTAATTCCTGACTGCCATAATCAGTGCAGCAGCATGCCTTGCACTTCCATGCTCTCTACAAGATGCAATGTCTCCAGGACATAGCTATGACCACGGTCATTTGGATAAATAGTAAATAATTTGATTTATATGTGAAACTCTTCAAATCTAACAGTCTTTACTGGACTGCCTGGTGAGCAAGTGTCCCTTTACCTCAGCACCAGCTAATATGTTTTAGTAGTCTCCATCAGATAAATTAATGTGGATTTATGCTGGTATGTTAAAGACATGCCTGGATTTACAGCATTTTCCTGCTTTCTCACTTTTTATTCAGATTAGACAGCATTTTGGGGTTTTTTATCTTATTCATGTTAGCTTCTCAGCTTTTGCTTATGGTTAAGGAATCTTAATGGAGCATCGCAGTAACAAAGCTTGTACCTTTGCTTTTGGGCATTAGTATGACTTTGTTGCAGTACTGTGGTTAAATCTGTGAATGGTCTAGTATGGACAATTTAAAAACATGTATGCTTTTAACTACCGTTGTTCTCAGTGGTTTGTTTTCTGCCTGAAGACACAGTACACAGAAATTGACAATTAGCAGGTTAGTTATGTTCCACAGGAGCATTTCTCATATCTCTGTACTGGGAGCAGCTAAACCAGGTACTATAGTAATTTAGGCAATCTTCCTAAAATGCAACTGAAAACAACCAAATCCCTGGTCAGACAGGGGTTTGAGTTAGGGATTCCTAGCATCAGTGTTCCTCCAAACTGCACCGTTATTTCTTCAGCAGGGTTGTGATATGTATTGTGCTGTTTTCCCAGCCTGAAGGGTGGCCCCCATCTGGATTTCAGTGGTTTTGTTTCTTTGCCAACTGAGTGTAGAAAATGATACAATATTCCTAAGGCTTTTTTTTAATGGTCTGACTTTGTTTTTTTTTTTACATTAGTAACAGCATGATTCCAGTAAAAGGGTAGGGCTTTTTAACTTACTGTATGAGACTGTGTTTTAGGATTTTTGAAATAGTAATTTTGTTCTCCTCAACCATGTTGGGAGGAAGAAGGGATGGAATGGGAGATGCTGTGCTGTCCAGAGACTGAGGGGATGCCTTACTATTTTTGATGGTTCTAAGGCAATACTGAAATAAATTCTACCAGGGCTGCTTTAACACACACACCCTTTTTTTATTTTTTGTCATACATAGAGGTTAGCTCAGCTGTTCAGAGATAAGCCTTTTCTTATGAAGTTTGGTAAATCAGTGTATAATATGTTCATGATTGTGAGATGAAATTGTAACAATGAAGTTTTCCTCTAATACTTGCTACAATATTTTTCCTGTTTGCAGTTGATTGCTAAAGCTGAAAGAATGAGACTTGAAAAGACTCAACAAACAAGTAAACATATTCGCTTCACTGAAGATAACTAACCAAGACTGAATGTGATCTTCAAAGTGAACTAGGTGTTTAACAAAAAACCAAACCCCACAAACACCACTGCTTACAGCAACTAAACCGTTTTTAAGGCGGCATCAAAACCTGGTCTGTTGGATTCATAATTCTGCAGACTGCAATTATGAAGATTGTTCTGAATCCCATTTCTAAATAGGCTGAATGTTTACTGCTTCTGAGCCTCTAGGTAAAGCTTTCTGGAAAAAATGTATTAAGAGATCTTGCTTTAGTTCACTTCGGTTTTTGTTTTGTTTTGGGTTTTTTTGTATGTTGAAGTTTTATATACTAGGTTATGAAATAAAATGCTTGGGAAATTTTCAGTTGTGCATCTCTAATTCTTCAATCTGCATTATGACACTATAATAAAACTTGTTAATTCTATATAAACCTCTCTAGGCCTCTGCTTAGTCTATCAGACTGTTCCAAAATACAGTAGAATGACTATAATCTTCCATGTATTTTAAAGTGGCTAGGACTGTCAGAAAACCTGTCATTGAGAAGTCTGGAAGAAAATCTACTCGAATGAAGTGCACACTAAACTGAATTTAGACTTTTTTTTTTTTAGAAGAATCTTCGGGGGAAGAAATAAGAAAACCTTTGTTTGTTACATCTGGTAACTCTAGCTCCAGAAGTAATTCTCACTTACAGATAAGTGTTAAAGTTGTATAGTTCACATGTAAAGGTAGTGATCTTAAAGTACTTTAAAGTATTGTAGACGGCAATATTTTAAAAAATAAACCAAACCTGAACATAAAATTGGAATGATCCAAAAGGTTGAACTTACGTATGACTAAAGCTCTCTCCATTAATGTAAGATTGTTTTAGTGGGTTTTTGTTTGGTTTTTTTTTACTGCAGGGCAAGAAACACATAGGTTTATAAAAGTGTGAAACTTCCTTATATATAGAAGAATGAGCAAGATATTCTGAAAGTAGAAGTACATTCCTAAAATACCATCGGAGTCTCTTGAAGGAAACTGTCAATGACACTCTAGGCATCTTTGTGGCTATAGATTTCACTGCTAAGATAGGCTAACATTTTTAGGTAGGTTAACATTTTTAAATTCTATGCTATCAAATTACTGGATTGGTGTAGGTATTTTAATGGTACATGTTATAATAAATCAAAGTTTGGTGACACTGGTATGTTTTTGATATCTAAGAAAAGAATCTGCATGATTTCTGTTGAATTCTTTAAAGTAGTGTGGGTACAATACCCATGGTGGCTTTGCAGTCACGAAGAACAGGAGGCAAAGGAGAAAAAAAAAAAAAGGACAAAATATTTTGTCCAAGAGATTATACCAAAGCATATTAAGCGTAATCAAATTATCCTAGGTAAGAACAGTGTAGAGAAGCATCACAATAGGAGGAATGCTTAGGGAGCACCATTTCTGTGCAGCTACTTGTGATGAAGCCTGTTGCCGCAGCAATGGGAACTATTCACTTCTGCAGTCTGTAGGCTCAGTGTAAGTCTGTCCTTCACCACCACGAGACTCCGATTAGCATCTGAGCCACCAGCAGACTGCATCCTTTTCCTCGGGCGGTGTGTGAGGGAATGGAGGGGATTACTGCAAATGAATGAAGAGGGTATAGTGGTGATCAAACTAAAGATAGCAGAAATACAGAGGGGAAAAAGTATGAGATAAGAGACAAACTTTTGGGGCTGGAGGGGAAGGGCTTGATAGTGGTTCTTGGAAATTGCGTAAGGACAATTCCTCACAGGGGACTGCAGTGGAAAGGGGAGGGGGGGAAGGCTAGGAACTAATCTGTATGCCAGGTGCCTCCTGTGTGGACCTCAGTGGTAATTCAGAGGTTTAGTCCAGTTGCAGGACTTTTTTAATTATTATTTACTCTTCCACTTCTCTCTTATACTAGGTGGGTAAGATGACACAGCAGAGAGAACTAAGATACCTAGCTATGAAAAGAATTGATCAATGAATGTCTTCTAGGCATCCTGCCTGAAAGTCAGGACACTTTTTTTTTTTCCATTTCTGTGATGTGAAGGGAAAAAAACCCAACAGCCTACTCTGGGTAAAATGTTTTGGATTTTTCTGCTGAAAATGATTTAAGTGAAAAATTTATCCATGTTATAAATAATTCACATCATAAATGATTCAGACTTTTTATGTTTTGTGGAAAGTGGAGCAGAATTCCAAAAGCCTAACTTTTGGAGTTTTGCTCTTTTATTAATAATTCCTGACTTGAACGCACAGCAAGAGAAGTCACCCTTCTGTTCCTTTCCATATTTATGTACGTTAAGTATTTACAATTAAATATCATTTTTCTTTTTCTCCTTTTTTTCCTTTTTCAAACTAGCGCAGAAATCTGCTTCAGCAGGGAACGGTGGTGTTTAGTTTTTTCTGAAGAAGTTAATAATAGAATTTTTGCAACTTATTTCAGAAGTCGTGTGTGGACAGTATGGTCTATATGCTTTTACAAAAGAAGCTTGGATTTTTAAGTATGTCAGAATGAATAGTTTATGCATTTTTTTTTGTCTTTAAGTACACATGACAGTTAATATCTGCTGCTGTTATCCCTCCCTATCAACATACGCTAAGAAGAGGAGTCCATCTGTCAAGTTTTACCATCCCAAGAGTTGCATCCCTAAAGGTACTTCATGTTTGACCTTACCGATGGAGGGTGCCTTTAGTGAAGTCTGCACGCTTACCTGCAGTGGTTTGGTTTGTTGCTTAACATTAAATTTTCTGCTCTATTGTTTTCCTCTAGGTTCATACACTCCTAGGAACTTCCAATAGTGACTTCCCCCTTGCCCCACTCCCCCCCCCCCCCCTTAAGAATACTACAGTTTATTTAAAAATTCAGGATGATACTGTAGAATTATAGGAGTTCATGACCTTGGACTGCTCATTTGGTTTTGCTGATTTTTCTGTCTCCCTTGACTGTTGAGTGTTTTGAAAGAACGTCATTACGCATAAATCTGCCTGGAGCAAAACCCAGCATTGATTCTGCTCTTCATGACCCAGCATAGGGTTGAATCTGAAATTATTTTTAGCGCTCATATTTTTACCTCTCTTCTAATAGTTGCAGACACTGCATGGCAGCAGCAGGACTGTAACTCTGACCTATGTAAGGCCTTTGGTGCCAACAGAATATTCATAATTTGGGTCTTTAAAAAGAGAGCTCTGTTTAAAAAAAAAAAAAAGTAACAGTAACATCTGATTGTAGATCTCGTCCATGATCTTGTCCCCCCTGAAGGCTTCTTCGATTTCTCCTCTGACACAACATTTCCAAGCTTAGAGTTTGGCCTTGTGAGTACTGTTGTCTTTTAGCAAGGACTATTGCAGTTACCTTAGTGGTGTCAACTTGCTGACTGGGACCAGGGCTCCATTGTGTTGGGCTTTCTACAGATAGAGAGCTCAGAAGTAAGAGGGAAGGAGGAAGGGGAGGACAGGATGGGAATGGAGATGTGCATTTGTTGGTGTGATGGCAACAAAGAGTAATTTTTAATGAGCAAGTGGAGGATGTCAGTGGTGCTGGAAAAAAGTAGCGGGGCTTCCTTGCTCTCAGCTGCAGAGCCACTGCATGCCTGTAAGGGACGCTCACGCTACCCACATCTTCAGATGAGTTTTCCTGTTTTGTGACTGTCTGCCTCCCACAAGCTGTGTTTGTGCAGTAAAAGTGCTGCAAGGAAAGATGTGGTTTTAGTAAAACACCTGTACTCAAAAGCAGCAGCCTGATACTCTGTGATTACTGTACCTGTGGGTTTTCAGTAGCCAGTGGTCCACAGTCAGTGCAGTATCCCATTCATGGCATGATGCTTGTATTCCATTGCCCTTTCTACCTGTCCTGGCAGCATAGAAGAGCTTCTTTATCTTTGATTTTGCACCTTGTGTTAATTTTTAAGTTTCTTGTTTGACTGCCCTCAGTCTTACTGTCACCTGGAGCAAGTAAGAAGCTGGGGGGTGGGGGGAGGAATATTTGCACTGAATTACAGCTCTCACAGGAGACTCAAGTTACCATGAGATGCCAGAGTGCTCTTGTCTGAGGCGTGTGTGTCTACAGTGAGAGAGCTTCCTAAATGTTTATCTCCCTTCTCTCATGACATGCTGTATTCCCAAAGACTATGCCCTTCTCTTTGTTAATGCTTAATTTTTTTTTTTTACCATCTGACTGAGTCTGATTTAACATTGCTTGTTCTACCTGTTTTATCTTACACAGCTAATATTGGCTTTCTGTACGTTCTCCCCCCCACCCCCCAAGATGTACTGTGTATCCTAGTTTAAATCGGGCTTTAAGGCAGTCCTTGAAAGCTAGTAGGTAGGTAAATTATCTTTTTCTAGAGAGGCTGTAAATCAAATTAGAAAATTACCCTCTGATAGACGACAAAGGCACTTGCCTGCCCAAGTCCCCTAGAACATAGGTCAGTGTCATAATTGCTTACTTACGGTACCATAGTGTCTAATGATCTCAGACGGGATTAAATCAGGGAATAATGCTGCATAATGCTGTAAAAAATAATTAGATAAGGCATGCTTGGGTGACTTTGAAATGTGCCTGAGTGGAGAAGTAATATGGTTATCTCACCTACAAGTGATTAAGTTTCTGTGGATGGTGTTAAGGAAGGAAGTTACTTTCTACCAGAAGTGCAATATTCTTCCTAGCATTAAATACACTTTCTTCGTGTCAGTTGTGGCGCTGTACTGGAGGAATATGGCTTGTTTACCCTGAATGTTCTGGGTGAACAGAACTATTCTATGTGAACTAGCTATATTTGTGCCAACTGTATTAAAGCATTATATTCCTAATGTACTCCCTTCTCTTGTAGCAGGTTAGAAGTTTGGTCCTGCAAGTATTGAAGAGCATTTATTTTAAATGCAAGTGCATAGCTGTCATGTTTTGGTGTTTTACCTTTTTAAATAAATGCCAGTAAGTGTTTTGTCAGTGTGTTAGAGAAGTGGCTAGGAGACTGTACTTGATTACTTTTACAAAGGGGGGAAAAAAATATTTCTAGCTGCTTTTTGTTGTGTTGTGAAGATGGGATTATCAGTCTGTCTCTTTGGCGGTAGTGCTGGCCTAGGAGTTTGTCCTGCCCCTCACGGGCAGCCACTTGTGCCTGCCCCTGAGCCCACAGGTCCTGCTGCACAGCGGTCCCTGGGAGCCTGCTGTAAAGTGTGTAATTTCAAAGATCTGGAGAAATAACGGTGGGAAATTTGAAGCTGACTTCATTGCTGAGGAAGACATTGTGTGTAAGTAAGCACAGCCTAAGTGCCTGGCTGAAGTACACACGCTGGGTGTACTTTGCCAGGCATTAACCAGAAGTGCCACAAACGAGAGTACCTGCTGCGTAGTGTAGTGCTTGGGCTTTGCAGAAAGTCACTGTGTCCCAAACCATTGATGTTCAGATACAGGTTGAACGTGTAATCGAACCAACCGTACAGATCTTCTCATTGTGTCTTCATCCTCAAAGGGTCACTCTCTAATGGAGCTGTAAGTGACAGAGAACTGCAAAGCTGGGGGCTCTTGGACTTGCCTTCAAAGCGAGCGGTCGCTGTTGTAATGGTAGGCGAATCCTTTGAACTTGGGAGCTGCCAGTGCTGAGAGGCTGGGCAATTTTCCGGGGTACTTGGCAGCCCACAGGTTTTTGTAGTTTACAAGCAGAGCTGGGCCAGCTCTCCTATTCACGTCTCTGTTTGTTGGAACCGGTATTGATGGCATACTTAGCATGCATAGCTGTTACCCGGTCACACCAATTGCTGCAAAATGAGGAGAAAATGAAGGCAGGAGAACATGGGAGAGTTTTGCTTGCTGTTGCCAAGGTGACTCGTTTTGAGCTGGATAAACACTCGCTCATCGCTGCTGCAGTTTTATTGCCTTATGGCATTTTGAGTGGAACCAAACGCCTGAGGGTGAAAAGAAGTGGGAGAAAGGTAAAGGGAAGGGACAAACCAGCCCTGGCACTCGAAAGCTAATGACGGCCGCGTGGGCAGAATGGCTGCCTTTGTTTCTGCGTTTCTGTTTCCAACCTGTGTCGCAGCGCTCTGGCCCTGCACACCCCTCAGCGGTAGCCGGCTGCCAGTATAGCCATTTCCAAAAGTCTAATTGCAGTGTTGAATCCTAATGATTTGTGTAAAAGAAAGGACCTGGAATAAAATGAAGAGTGTGATGAGTCTGATGGGAAAAGCCTTCCAGTATGGTGTGATTTTACTTAAGGTCATTTAAGCTACCTCATTTCTCTCTCACCTTTTGTGGGGCTGGGGCAGAGGAGGGGGCAGGGGTTGTGGTTCCATCAAACTTAGAGGTTTTTAGTCTGTTCTTTTGCTAGAGTTTTGGGTACAGCTGTTCCCAGTGAGGGGCCACTACCCACCAGCTGACGACTCGCCGAGTCTTTTGCTGTATGTAATCTTGCTCTGCCGGCCTGGGGAGAGCTGTGGGCAGGGGTAGCAGCCTCGGGGGTGCCCCTGGGGCAGGCAGGCTCCTGCCTAGGGCCGGGCTGTGGGGTCTCCCAAGCTCTGGCCAGCAGAGGGCAAAGCTGCTACACGCTGTCCTGCGCTGCAGGCACGATGCAAAGCTTAGGGCAGCTTTGCATCCAGCGTGTTTTGCTATGCATTACACTCTGGCTGATCACATAGATGAAACTATAAACGTAATTTTTGGGGAGGAGGGGAGGTGGAAGTCCCCTGTGTTCCCAGGGAGCCTGCGAGGTGGCCAGGTGCTGGGACGCATGGTCCCCAGGCACCAGCCGTGAGCCCTGGCTCTCATCTGCTGTCTGTGATGGACCAGAAGGATGTTTTTCTAGTAGGTTCAGGGAAGATTTTCATCAGGCTGGGAAAACATTTCTCCGAGGGTAACTGAAACTACTTGCATCTGGGTTGAATACTGCTCCTCCCTCAGACGGCAGAGTTATCCACAGAAAAATTTGGGTAGTTTGGCACTGAATTACTCTTCACAGTCAGTAACAGACCAGATAAATGCAGAAGTTTCATCAACAGAGATATCTCCGCTGACTGGTGGTGGGAGCATACATTGTGATACGTGGGATGCATGTTACATGTGTTCTTCCTTGTCGCCGAAAGCAAAAGAGCATAATTAATATTAAAGTAGGAAGCTCCCCTACTCCTTGTCTCAGTGGAGGGAGCAAGTTCCAGTTCTCCCACCTTCTAAATAAGGTATGGAGCAGACATGGCTGAATACCTTTTTACCTTCATGCTTTTATGCAACTTTCTTCTTTGTTTTGTTGTGCTTTTTTTTTCCTCACCATGGTTGGTATTTCTGTTTGCTTTCCTTTCCCTTACCTGCTACACACTGAAATGTGGTTTTGTTACGAAAAGTGGCTTTTTGTTACATAGTGTTTTGTGTAGTATTTGTTTGGTGAGTATTTTGGGAATACAGCCGCTCCTTCAGATCTTGTCCATCATATGTGGTGCCTCAGCAGATAACTTGCAAGGTTTAGCCTAGAAGACCTCTTCCATGTGCACAAATGCAAAGTGTACTTGACCTGCTGGCTCAGTTTAGTCAGACTAATAAAACCTTGGTTCAGAAACAGGCTATGCTGTCTAGTCTGAACTTCACAACTCACCAAAAACAGCTTTATTCTAAAACCAAAAGCCCTGAATTTCCTCTTTTATGGCAAGTAATATATATCAGTTATTCTTGTATACAAATAAATTCAATCTTACTGCAAGGTAACTTACAAGGTAGGAATTTTCTCTCACCGATGATAAGCTAAAGTCTGTCTTCACAGTGGCTTTTACCTGGCATAGCCTAAAGAAAATGTGACGTTTTTGCAGTGCAGACAAGTTCTTAGGTGTGGAGGCAGGCAGAGGTGAGCTCAGCCGTGCTGCGCACTCGCTTCAGGGGCATCCACTGCTGTAAAACCAGTGTGATTCAATCGGCACAAACAACAGGCTGTCCTTTTGCCTTTTTCCCTATCAGTACAGAGTGTTCATGGAGCTCCTGTTTGAGTACAGCTCCCAAAGCAAAGTTAGGTCATTGTTAATGACAACATAGAAGCCAGTTCTGTCTGCCTCCTTTTGTGTTGCAGTTTTCTTTGTTATTGTCCATATTGTAGCTGTAGACTTACTTGCTTCTAGTGTCTTGCACTATGGCAGATACAGAAACATCTATCCGTTAATTTGGCTAAAGTTTCAGGCATAATTAATCTCTTTAATACAATGCTGCTTTGATATAAATATTTTTTTTTATTCTGACATTTAATTCTCTCAAAACTGAAAGCTGAATTTTGAATCCACTGAAGTGCCTTGACTTGCACTGAAACATCCACTGCAAAGCTTATTATTTATGCCACCACAATTCATCCTCAAATAATTTTCCCCCATCTTCTCTCAGCAATAGCTCTGAGGTGTTTTGTGGTCTGTGTTGGATTCACTTCTCGCGTCAGATGTGAAAAGGTAGATTAAACTCTGCACCTAGAGCGATGGCGACAGTATCAAACAACCACAGCTTTTTGATTTTCTACTTGACAGTGGTTTATTTTGCTCTTAGAAAAGCCAGGTGACTGAGATGAGCAGATTTACTCAGTGTTTTTTGCTTTTTGCCAAGGGATGGTCTTCAAGATGGCGGCGAGGGTCTCAGCCTGGCAGCTCCAGTCCGTGCCCTGATCCTACTCCCTGCCCTGCCCATGGCTGCCCAGCCAGGCACCCGATGTCTGTGTTTACACCAGAACTGCTATTATGCCAAAAATCACAACTGTGGAGAAAACACAGTGAGTGTCTTGAGAACTTTAAGCAAGAGGGAAATAATTTCCCTTTTCCTTTTGATTGACATAATCTTTTTCCTTTCTTGTCCTTCTTTTACACCCGTTCCTTCTCTCTTTGTCATTGGTTTCCTGGATGCCAGGATTAAAGGTAAGCCCCTTTAACACTCTCATCACCTCCTTACCACAAGTGTACCTGAAACCCTACTGCTCTCTGACAGGTCCGTTGCCACGCTCTTACACTGATGGAAGAACCAGAATAATATAATTTGAATCAGGGGCACAATATTTAAAGTTATTTGGGTGTTGAAACAGGCAGCTGAGCAGCCTCATTGGGTTTAGACTATATATATAATTCTATAGCCATATATATCTCTCTCTATGCAACTATATATAGATGCAGCTGCAGTGGCAGAACAGGTCATCCGCAGCTTCCAGCAGGGAGAGAGACACAGAGTTGTTCTGCAGTTTTTAAGCCTGAGTTTGGTACCATCCCCTGTTTCAGATGCCCCGATTATGACTCCTGTGCTGTATTTTATATCCCATTTATTGTCTAAGTGTTTTGCCAGTGCTGGGGACACGTTGTTTGTGGCTGGGTTGGACTCTTCCCTTTAGGGAAACCTGACAATGTGGGCCACTCTTTTTAACTCATACATTCTTCCGTTGTTGGTCAGGTACTCCATGTTTATTTTGTCTTAAATTGCGTATGCTCGCCTCCTTGATGTGTGAAAGCAACAATTTTAAGGTATGTTCAAACATGTTAAAGCAACTGATAGCTGGTAGGCATTGGACAGTGTGTGGAGAAGAGAGAGTCCTTCCTTAGGGCGCTTCCTGAGGAGTTCGTGTCGGAAAGGAACGTCTGGAACTTTCACAATGGGGAGGTGTGGCTGTGTTGGCTAATGCTGAGTGCGGTCACATCATATATGGAGATGATAACTTGGCCTTTGGATGTGAGGTGGCAATGTATGTGGGGAAATGGAGGTATTCCTGCTGAAGCTGGTGGTAGGTGAGGCTGAGAGAAGGGTAGTGTTTTCTGCAGTGTTAGACTGGCATCCTGCGCTGGGAAAAGACAGCTTGCCCACCCAGGAAAATGTTATTTCTCTCCACTAGCTCAATGTGATGGCTGCTGGATGGCAGACAATGTGTTCTGCTGCATGAGCAGATGTTAATCAAACTGTTTCATGGTGGTGGTCCTTTTATCGGCAGTTGCTACCTTTCCAAATTATGATGGGTGTCTCGTCCACTGCTTTGCCTCTTTGGAAAAGGCATGCAACAGGCTTGGGAAGAAGTGCACTGCTGTCACGCTGCCTGTGGCTGAATGGGGTTGCAGTCAAACAAGCCCTATCAAAAATTAAACTGAGAAGCAGAGAGTTTACAGTGGAAAGTTGGAGTACCTGGCTTGAAACATTTTCTAAATATGGTGGCTTTTGCTATCTCAGTGCAAGAGGTAGGAAAGCAAATGCTGGTGCTTCTGTTGTGTACAGGTGGAGATTCAAATGCCGCAGGCAGCAGCAGCAGCACATACGGGTTGAACCTGGCAGTGGCAGAAGCAGGAAGGACGAGGGAATCGGAGCTGCTGACTGGCTGCAGATGGGAGGGTGGAATCTCTTCAGGGATGCTACCAGGAGGTCCCAATCCAGGTTCGAAGGGTTAATTTTAAAAACATTTTTTTCCCCATGTCTCAGCACTGTCTGGTTTTAGCCATGACGGGAATTAGAAGTGACAGCATACTGCAGGGGAGCTGTTCTCATGGGGTTTGCATCACACCTAAAGCTGGACATACCAAAAACCTCCCGAGAGAGGCTGGTCTGCCAGACCCTTCCGACACCAGTCACAGTTTGGCTGAGCATCTCGGCTTCCCAAGTGAAAGGAGCTTTGCAGTTTTTTGGTGTTCACCTCTTCTAGCATACCAAGATGTTTTCTGAGCCAGATGCGATGGGGAGGGGTGAGCTGGCACGACAGGCTCTGCTGTCCCCTGGCAGAGGCAGTGCAATCCCTTCCTCCCTCGCCATGATCTCCTCGGAGAAGCATAGGGAAGACGTGACTCCTGGGGAGTGCTGGGACAGGCTTTCCTGGTCTCGGCAGCATCCTAGCGCCAAGGGAGGCCTATGTGAATGAGTGCCTGCCGATGAGGGTGATGACTCGAAGCGGCCCTGCGACACCATGCAGCTAGAAAGGGCAACACGTGGTAATGCAAAAAGAATTACACGTACAGAATAGTAATACCACCAAAAAAGCCCAGTAGCTAATACCCAGCAAACATATTCCTCATGGCACTCTGCTTCCCTGTTGTTTCTGATATTCTTCTAGATCTGCTCTGCAAAAGAGGTGTGAACATCCTTAAGGAGAGAGAGGCGACCTGGAATTCGCAGCTGTGAGGTGCTGAGCGCTCGGAGCTGCTGCCGGCCTCTCGCACCGGCCAGGACAGACCCTTCTGCAGGGGCCTGCACACATGGCTGCAGGTCACAGAGAAGCTGAATAACGTTCTTGGCCTCAGCAAGCTGACTCGGCTGTGTGACTGCAGTATCTTTTGGAAATGTCTTGTGTCTGCTGTGGAAAAGGCAGGGAGTAATTTTGTGAGAATGTAAGGATGTTATTTTTCACTGACATCGCTGTGCTGTCAATGCTCACAGAATAGCTTGCTGGGATCTCTTGGACTGAATGGAAATGTCAAATGTGTTGCTATGGCCAAATACAAACAGATATTTCCAAACTAATATGGCTATTAAATAATTGCATGTGAGATAATAGCAATCGAAGAAGCACACATGACAAAAATCTAGTAAGACCAAAAATCGGTTTGGTCAAAATTTGAGGGTTTTTTTGTCTGATTTTAAATGCCATGATTCAAAAAGCCTTTTCATGCAGCAGAGAAATCTCTTGCTATTTTGAGGCTTACCACAGAAAGCTGATAAGAGATACAGAAATACAGGTGCATCTTCTTAAGTATATCTTCTGCATAATATCAAGTCAAAATGAGGATCCTGACATTAGGACAGGACAAGATGAAAGACTAAAGCCGCTGTGTATCTTTCAGTATCAAAATACAAAGCCCAGCGTTACGTGACACTAATCTATGCAATACCATGGGCAGCTTGAGGCCCATCAGGTCAATCTGATGAAGTTCTGCCACCATACCATCTGTTTTGTATTCATCTGTCACTGAGACTCAGAGCCACTGGAGAGGAAAAAGAACTGGCAATGTCATGCAGTGGCTTTTTGACATCAATACAAGCCGTGTGGGAATTGCTAGACGTTGTTTTGTGGTACTTACGGGCATTAAAATGTAACGCGGGGGAAAACCCACAAGTTGTATAAAGACCACGTCATCTCCCACTTACGAGTAAATACAATTGTCATTCTTTAAAATTTCTACACCAAAAGCTACAGTTACACTTCATTTCAGCTGTTCCCTAACAAAAGGAGACAACGTGTCGGGCTCGGCATGTCACTTTCCCACTGGTACAGTCTGAATCCTCTTGTAGGCTCCGCTATGACCACTGGATGAAAAAGGTACAGTATAGACTCCATTAGCTGGAATGAGCTGGTTGTGTTGCTCCCTATGGTTGTCTGAAAACAAATTAGGTTAAGATTTGGCTAATGGTAGATGTGAAAAAGAAGAACAAGTAACAACGGCCATATACCCAGTGGGACTGTGGTTTCCTTTAGCTTGGCATCCCGTCTTCAGCAGCACCAGCAATTGGTACCCAGGGAAGAGGAAAAAAAAAGGATAAATAGACACTGATATGTCCCTGAAACAGCCCCTGAGCCTCTAGAGTGCAAAGTATTTCTTTTAACTCCTACTTTATTATCCCTTCTAGTAGGCTCTGTTTCAGTCCTTGGTGATGCCTACTGAAAAGTAAATGCTCTCTATTTCCCACGGGCTGCCCTACTTTACATCATCACCTTGGAGATAGAAAACAAAATTCTGTGCAAAAGCTGTATCTGCTTGTCCTGATTCCCGATTCATTTTCTTTATCAGAGGTGAGGAAGTGAAACCCTGACCCTGCTGAAATCCCTGGGCAGGTCACAGTTCAGTTTGGTGCGGTGGGGGCTGCAGCTTTGGGAGGTGAACATAAGGCAAAGAGAAGTACTTTGGGCATTCCTCACAGGTCGTGGCACAGCTCGCTGTTTCTACCCATTCTGTGGTGCCTTTGTTCTCGAGCAGTTTCCATGGTGCCTCTGCTTTGTCTGCAGACCTGTCTGCAGGCAGCACTCTTCTCAAACAAGCCACACAAGATGATTTTTATGAGGCGGTGCATCGCTTTGCGTGGCTGCGCCGCAAAGCTGTAGCACAGGCTGCTAGGCATCAGCTGCCACAAATATTTTGCAGGCTGTCTCACGGGCACATCTTTAGAAAGTATGGATTGATGTTTTTTAACTGAAGGGAGAGATACAGATGATGCTACCTGAGAATCCAGCTCAGCCTTTCGCCCGTCATGTTTGGCAAATTAAAATAACAAGAGGAGGGCTCCTGTCTTGTTGCTGGCAATGTAGCGCTGCTGTAAAAAAAAAAAAAAGCAATAGAAGGCGTAACAAGAAAGAGCAGCCATGCTGCTTGCTGCAGCACTCTGAAAATGTCATCTTCATCTGACATGGGTGTGAAAGTAGATGATCTGTGTATGTAACGCAGCATCGCTCCCTTCACATAGAGACTGGCAAGGATCAGGTCAAGCTCATTTATCCATTATCCAGCTGTTAATTCTCTGCTAACCATTCTGATACCGGACCACTGACCCCCTGAAGTGCTTCGGCAGGCAACAGGGAGGACCTCAGGGTCCTCCTGTCAGGTGCAAAGTCAGAAGGGCTGAGTAACCTGGCCACTGTTTTTAATGCCCAGGAATAATATCCCTCAAGAAACCCTGAGCTTTGACGGGTAGAGGCTGTTCAGAGAATAACAGTAGAGTGCTTGTGGCCCAATACTAGAAATACTTCAGCAAGAAAACTGGTTATATGAATCTTACAGGCTGTTCATCCAAAAAGAACTGGAGTGTAAAATCACTGCCCAAGTGAAAAAGCAGGCAAAAGGGCAAAGCTGTGCTAACGGGGATTTTAACTTCCAGGCACAGCAGAGGGTACATTAAATGGTGGAAGTAAGGCTGGATGTCTGTTAGTAGGCTGTGTACAGGAATGCCATTTAATCCAGGACCTGCAGATATCAAGAAGAAAGGGAACAATATTAGAATTGGTATCAAAGTATAGAGAGAATAAAAGCGAGGACACAAGGGCAGCTTAGAAATAGAAATATCCTGGTCACAAAAATTCAGTACTTTGAGCAGAAAAGAGGTTTTCTTCATTAAGGTGAAGCTTGTACTGTGTGTTGGGATAGAACAGGCTGCTCCCCAAAGCTGGACATGAAAATTAATGGTTTGTAAGTCTTGGCAGAAGTTTTCAAAGATGCCTGGAAAATTATAATGCCCAATTAAACAGGAATCGGTCATCCAAGTCCTTAGGTGGTCCTGAAAAATCACAACCGCTCTGCACTGCATCTAATTTTCAGTCAGAATTTTCCCCTCTGCTTCTCTTCACTCTTCTCTCCCAGCACTATCCCCAAGCTCCCGCTGGCACAGACCTCTGGCTGAAGCCTCAGCCAAATAGCTGGGCTTTGAAACATGGCATTCGAGCAGCCTCAGTGGGGACAGGAGAGAGGATAGTCGGTCCCTGCTGAGGCCATTCCAAGCCAAATCTGTGGCAGCTGTTACACACCAACCGACCGCTAGTTTTCCACCAGACACTTTCACTTTTGGCCCACGGAGGTGGAAACAAATTCAGATCAGCAGCGAAAAAGCAGGCCCCACTCCAGTGAAGTTAAGAATTGCGAGGTCTATTTGGAATGTTGTTTTTTTGTTTTTTGGGTTTTTTGTCTTGTCTGATGTTAGCATCTCACATGCACATACCATGCACCTGACCTGTTTGTTTGGGCTACGTCTTCTGGGCTAGGCGTCAAGTCTGGCAGAGATGATGGGTGTGCTCGTCCTTCAAGTTGAAGGACGCTTTGTGAAGGAGCGTTAAGGGAAGGACAGTGTGTGCTGAGCACATCCTGCGGAGCGGGGAACATGGCACAGAAGGTGGGACTCTAGAGAGGCAGGTCCCCAGCACGTGTGATCCTCTGCTGAAGCAAGGTCCCCAAAGAGCTTTAATTGACGTAGATGAATGTCGTCCTTCCGTGCTCTCCTCAATTATTCCAAGTTGAGCGGGGCTAAATCACTACCTGCATCAGCATCGGTCCTCCTTTTCAAGCAGGGCACAGGCTGGCTGGGAAACCATGCCCAAAGCGCTCTTGCTCTAAGAAAGACAAAGGAGGAATTGAGCAAATTAGATCATTCTTTATAGATTTGTACTGTTTCCCCCTGTGCGCTGGGGCCTTGTGCTGGTCACCAGCAGCACACAGGCTGGTTTCCTCCTCCCCTCCTTGCTGCCAGGAGGCACTAACTGGCTGCCAGAGCTTGCTCTTTTTTGCCTCAGACTGAGTTTATTGCAACCACAGAAACAAAATTAGGACAGGGTGCCTCAGGGTTCTTCTGGGCTGTCCCCATGCCCAAGGTTGAACCTCTCTGGATTATTTGGGGTCAGGAGAGAGATTTTTCCACAATCAGCCAGTGCTATGGGCCATATCAGTAAAAGACCATAGGGAGCTTCTCTGCACTACCTTAACTTCCTAGGACCCCCTGGGAATTTTTCTGTGTCCTTGGTTCTCCCTGCTTGTTCCCAGGAACTCCACACTGGGAATGGGCTGTACCCAAGCGCAGAGGTGAGGGAGGTCCTCCACCTGGCAAAGGCTTGGGAGATAGGAAAAGAGAAGAAAAGCCTTGTTGTTTTGGAGGTTAAGTGGTAAAATAGAGTTGCAAGAAAACAGGAGGGAAAACTAGCCCTGAATGGGAATGGGATCATTGGCGCTTTCTCAGACCGGAGCAGTGTCACAAGCTTCCCTTAGAGCCACCCTCCGACAGCACCTTTAAATACCGCAGGCTTCAGACTGAAGCTTAGTCATGGCCAGAGCACTGCTGCCCTCTCGCCTCTGTCTTGGTTTTCCACTGGTTCTCTCCGCTCCACTCGTTAACTAAGTATCCAATTCCCACCACCTATTACCAGCTATTATTGCTTCTTCAGCCCTCCTTCTCCTCTGCATCCATCACTGAGTGAAATAAATGGAATACATATGCTGATTATGGGAGAAATACACGTGGAGGGAGTGCCAGCTCTCCAAGCTGGCTGGCAGACATACATTTATTTATTTGTGGTTCTGACAAGAGGGGGCTGTGTTCTGTGCCTGTGTAGCACCTTCCCACCTAGCGAGATGTGATAATAACCTGAAAAAATAAGTTTCTGTTCAAAGGGAGGTTTTATTCTCCCTCCAGTCCCTCGGGGCAGCTGGCAAACAGCCCTCCGAAAAACATCAGCCTGCAGCTGGATCCAGCTGACCATCCAGCTGCCAACGTGTTGGCAAGGAAGGGATGTAGGGATATGAAGCTGGAGGTGGGGCTAAAGGTGTTGGCTAAATCCCAGCGCAAACAAGACTAAGTAGTTTTCAGATTAATTAGCTGGTAGGAGTAAATTTAGCATCTCCCTCATGCAATAAAAATGATAGTGATTTTTGAGCCTGTGCTTCCAAAGACCAATTTTAGCTGATAACACTCAAAAACAGGATTGCCGATAAGATCGCACAAACTGGAGCAGGCTCTCGAGCCTGGGGCAGGGTGGGAGTCTGAGTTTTGCAGAGTAATGCTTTTAAATAACAGTTTTCCTATACCTTTTATTACAGAGCAAAAATATTTTTGGAAAGAAACTTGAGTGAAGCAGCAAATTTCTCCTGAATAAGAGGATCACGTTTTTTCATACACTAGCAGGCGCATCGCTGTATAACTAGACAGGTATTTTGGTGAGGATTTGTGACATGGTGCCACACGTAAATGTGAGCGAGCGAGTGAAGGTTTCCTTGGGCAGGCAG